GAAAAGTAAATTATCACAAGTCTAAATTATGATTGTCTCAAAATAAAAACTATAAGTGTTGTGTACATTTGATAGTCAATAATGAAATCCAAATTTTTAAAGCTTTTTTTTTATGTAGAAGGAGCTAGAAAATGTTGATAAACCATTCAGTGATACTTACATTGGATACTTTGGTGTCATACGTTGGCCCATCCAAGTTTCTTCAAAATACTTAAAGAAGCGATGAGCTTCTGCAAATTGAGGAACCGTTTGTTCTATGAGCATATTGGCCATATCTCTATATGGCGATTCCTCAGGAACCAATGGTAGAGCTGCTGCTCTTCTAAGCCATAACTTAACTAACGGGTTCCTCTTGCTGAGACGTAAGAGACCCAGCTTACGTGCCTTTAAAATAAAAAAATGAAATAAGCAAATGTTTCAAATTAAGTTTATAGTTTTTCACCTTGAACTCATACACTATTGCTGAAATTCAAACTGTAGTTTAAAAATGCTATACATACCTTTTTCACCAAACTTTGAACAAAGTGAAAGTAACACCCTTTCACTTCAATGCTTGGAAAGACTTCCTTCAGAGCTTTGATGCTGGCCAACTCAAAATCCACCATGGCAAAAGTTGGTGCTAATAAGAAGTTGTGACTCCATGCTGCAGATTTCATGAGTTCAAACAGCCTCTTGTAGAGAGCAAAAGTTTTGCCTCCCAGCAGACAAAAAGCCATGGGAAATATCTGGCCCATGTAATCCCCATGCAAGGTGTATAACTGTTTAAAAATTTTAGGTGTTACCTTAAAGGTACCATCTAAAAATAATTTTGGGCTGGCACAAAGGTTTCTCAAGTTTTCTGCAGTGCAAAATACCTACAAGTAAAAGATTAATTATATCTCTATGTAGCACAAAAACATAATAGTTTAACATAGCATAGTTAACATGTATAACATTTTTATTATTATTGTAATGCAATTCTGCTCTACATTTTAAGATATAGTTATTAACTTCTTATAGTAGTTTTCCTACATATAAAGTTAATATTTTCAACTTTCGTAGAAAAAACTCTTTTATGTCAAGTGACAACACATATTGTGAATCACTTATCCGCATTAGAGTACTGTAGCAAAGGAGGGCTTAGCCATCTAGTATATAATTAAATAATAAGTTTTAAGATGCTTAGATTAACCGCATGATATAAGGCTTGTGGGCTCAAAATCTTTTTTTTTNAACTTTTTTTTTTTTTGCAAGAACAAAATATATATATATATATAAAAGATGAACAAATAAATTTGAATGAAAAAAATGCTTCGAATTGCATATTTAGATGGAGGTACATTGGATCAGACTTAATTATTTTAATGCTATTAAATATTTTTGCCTATTTTTCCAAAAACTAGTTGCACCACTAATATTAACACAAACACTGTTAAAAAAATATATTGATCAGTTAAAGTACGCCAATTTTTTCCAGCAAGTTGTATGTTAGCTCTGCTAAGTATACTTTAGTAATGTTCTCTAGAAAACTTGTATCGATAAGAGGGGAAATTGTTATGATCTTTTGTAAAACCCAGAACATGAATTATCTATTATTGCACGGTAGTGTGTATTTAAATTTCCTTAGTTTTATTTCGTAGCTGATTTATTTGTTATGAAATGTTAGTGCCTTGATGAACACAACTGTTCTATCTATATATCAGAAACATTCAAAATAATTTTTTTCAT